AATGTGTTCCTTTGTTTTGTAAAACTTACTAGGACTGTAATGTACATTGACAACAAAGAAAGTGATAAGTATATATATATATATATATGTATGTAACGTCAATTCAAACCTACAAGTATTTTGATTATAAAGTTTCTGACCTCTTAATAACTCAGGAGATAAAATTTTAATTTACAATAAGGCACAATCTTCACAGCCCAAAACTCAACCCAACAAAGTTGATGTCAGCTTCAAGCCTTGGCGTGGAGTGGTTTTCTTCATATATAAAATATGTCTCTCCCAAACAAAAGCCTCGTTTACTGTATAAGAAAAGTTTGAGTTACTGCGTAGCTAATTATCATACTATTTCTGATTTGTATGAAATATTTCAATTACCTCAAATGCAACATAGTCAGAAAGAGCTAAAATATGATAACTGCTTGAGCTTGTGAATTAAACTTGAGAAACTGCAAGGGAGATAAAACAATAAAGCAAAGAATGTGTTTGTTAATTACTGTGAAGAAGTTTTTTTTAGACCATTACGGAAAGCTAGAAAAGTAAGGTCTCGGAAGATAATTTCGAAGTAACTTTTAAGATTGTGGGAAAATAATAAAAGAATATCACGAAATCACCTGGCGTGTAATGAGAAATTATGGAAAGTTTATTTTTACTCTTGTGAACGATTTTGGTGCAACAAGTATAAACAGTAGAAGCAAAACGAACTGTAGATTTTACTAGACTAATGCTTAATTTGGTTGTATTTATTATTGACATTACCCCATGGGATAGCGTAAATCTGCTGACTTATAGCGTTAAAATCTGGAGTTCGATACTTTGCTGTGGACACAGGAGATAGTCCAATGTGGCTTTGCTATAAAACAAAGAAGCATAATTGTTTGTTTGTTCGTAATTAAGCACAAAGTTACACAATGGGTTATCTGTGTTCTGCCCACTACATGGCCCGGCATGGCCAAGTGGTTAGGGTGCGCGACTCGCAATCTGAGGGTCGCGGGCTCGTATCCCCGTCCCACCAAACATGCTCGCCCTTTCAGCCGTGGAAGCGTTATAATGTTACGATCAATCCCACTATTCGGTGATAAAAGAGTAGCTCAAGAGTTGGCGGTGGGTAGTGATGACTAGCTGCCTTTCCTCTAGTCTTAGACTGATAACGCAGATAGCCCTCGTGTAGCTTTGCGCGAAATTCGAAACAAACCAAAACCAAACTAGTCTGTCTGGTGTTAAAATCTGTTGTGAGAAACTGGCTGAACCAGTTTCAAAGACATTTAGTAGAGGAACCCAGGTGGACCCCAAAGATCGAGTTTATATAGAAAAGCAATCGGGTAAATAATTTGCAGCCATTTTATTTTAACCTCCCTAATGCCGCAAATATGATGATACAGGTAGCAAAATGCATGTAGTCGACGCCAAACAAAAGTGACATTAAATACTGCGCGTAGCATTGATACCTTTACATTGGGCGAAAGATTTGTGTGCTACAGCTCAAAATAGTGGAAGGAGGCGGCCAACGCTCCTGTTTATAACATTACTATTTAAAGCCTAGTACCTTTGCTAGTAATTATAAAGGCTAACCGAAACCTGGCATGTTCTTTCTTGTCGGCTCCGCACTAATGAGGCTCAATCAAAAGAAGCACATTATACTGAGATTAAACGACACCAATTAGTAGTAATTCGCTAAAACTTCTTTGTGAAAGTGCTGCGTATTTATGTCACATTTAAACCAACAGTTCAGGCTAGTCTTTCATGAAATTAATTTCTTTAAAAAATTGATAATTTATTGATGTAACATTAACGATTTTTTGTTTAATGAATACAAAACTTTGTCATAATTTAGTCTTATAAAAAAAATCTTATGAAACAAACGATAAATTTAGTTTAAAATTTTCATGACGTTCAGTAACAATTATAGCTACCTCAATAATAACTAATGAGGCTATGCTAGTTGTTATAGCTTTAGGTAGACAAACGATAAACTTAGTTTAAAATTTTCATTACGTTCAGAAACAACTATAGCTATCTCAATAATAACCAGTTATGTTAGTTGTTATATCTTTCGGTAAACAAACATAAGTGTTTCGAAAGTTTCCTTCCAGATTATTCTCGGTGTTAATGGCTGTACGTTATTAGCCTAACGAGTTCACTTATTGGATATTGCTACTCAAAATGCACGTTATTAATGTAAGCTACTTACATATATGTGAAATATATTATGTGACTTGAATATAAAAATATAAAATTGTATTAGAAATTATTGTTCTCAAGGTTTATATAATTCAATTATGAAATTTTCATCAAAGAGGGCGCTCTATGTGTTTGACGTGTAAGTATACTAATCTTGAATTAAACGTGAGCGGTACAGCTGGGGGGTTAATTTCAGTAACTTAGTTTGACGTGTCGATATCACAGCCGAGTGACGTTGGTTTCATAAGGGAGGCTGCGTTTGGAAGAACTGAAGAAAAATTTACATTCCTCAGAGTTAAAGATGACAGTAGCAAAAGAAGTTATTCATAGTAAAGAAAATATTCTTCAGGAGATTGATCAAGAGATTCAAGTGGCGTATGAATATCATTTAAAAAATGGTTATACCCCAGAAGAAATTCAAAAAGCTGCAAAGCCTCTTTTGGAACCTCTTCGTCGGGGAAGATATAAAAAGCGTCTAGTTTTCCTCGTTAAAGTTACTTTAGTTTTACTTGTTATTTATATGCTGCTTTCTGCGGATCCTGTTTACCGAAGACTTTGTATGTATGGTAGATTGTTTTTGTTTCAGGTAGGTAGTAACTTAGTAATAGTATATTACTCAAACTTTTGACATTTCTTCAAGTTCAAGACTGTTCGGTATAAAGAAATTATCAATATCATATCACTCGTGAGAAAGTTGATGCGCTAATCAAGCCACTGGGAAACTTTTACTATAAGTTTTAGGTCAAACGAGAGAAACCAGTCTGAGAGCTTTTTTTTCCTGTATAGTTATATACGCGGTTCCCACTGGCCCAGGAAACTGGGGAAAGTATAAGAATATATAATTTTGCTCTCCCGGGCCTTTACAGGGCGTTAATCATCATTTCAGTGCTGTAAAACCAGGATAATTCAGGAAAAAATAATAAACTAAACATCGTGGCAGCTATGAACGAATACATCGAATCTTTATCAGGTGCCTTCAATTCTTAAGTTCGTAGAAAAGTGGTTCGTATTTTGCTTTGTTTTTTTTTTTTTGCAAAAAACTTTAATTACACAAAATACAGTTAGTGAGTTAGTTTTTTTCAAACTTTGGTTAGATTCAACATCTTAGTGATCTTAGTGTGTTAATCTGTTTGTTATGATTTTGCTTCGTAATAATCAGTATGTTTTAGTTGCATATTTGTTCTTGTTTTTGACTGTATTTCGTTGTGTTGTTAATTTTAAACCTTTGTAGCTTTTATTCTCCTGCTTTTTGCAGTTCCTCGTTGGGACAGCGGTAAGTCTTCGGAATTACAATGCTAGAATCAGGGGTTCGATTCCTCTCGGTGAACATAGCAGATCGCTTTGCTGTGGGAAAACATGCTTTTTGCAAAAGGAAAAAACATTAAAAAAGGAAATGTATCGAGCGCCAGCGAAGTGTTTCTACTAATTCTAGAGTTTGGCAATGCCACCGGTTCTGGCGAAAACCCAAGTCTTAACTAATCCAACAACGTAATGACGGAAGTTACCTCACGTGTTGCAACATTGTATGCAAATATACATTCACTACTTACCGTTTTTGTTGTAGGGTGGCAAGAGAATCATATTAATAATAATGAGAATTACAAACTGGCCGTTTTAAGCGGATTTTCAATTATTTGTAAGTGTAGCATGCATGCACGTTTTTTGTGCATTTTTATATGTGTACAGCCTTATCAGTGAACAGCAAAGGTTTTAAAGTGTTGTTTGAACTGGAACTTTAGTGTTTCAGGTGCTTTTTGCCCGAACGTTCTGTTAGGGTTTTGGGCAATTCCTTGCGATCCCTATCGTGGTTCATGATTACTTTTTGTAAAGAACTCGATTACAATCTTCAAACCTAACAACCTTCAGATACTTTTATTTATACTTACGTTAAAATCAATGCAAACAACACAATAAGAGGTAAACAGAAATTGCAGTTGACACAAACGTAAAATAAAATAATGTATTCCCCAAGTTATTCTGGATTCCTAAACACCACACGTCCTCTTATAAATAAACATTCATAGATGGAGCTGAAACGCCCATCACAAAAATGTATTTGTTTTAATAGGTAAAGCCCTTAATTACATCAAAGAACATTTGACAAAAAATATGTAGCGGTATAAAAGAAAGATCATATATTAATCCGTGGAATGCAGACAAAAGTTAAAATATATGAAACTAAGCCAATCGAAACATTTTATTTCACTAACCTTTATACCAGTATACCCTTACACGAAATCAGTGAAAATAGCTTACTAGTAAAAGATACTTTCAAAACACTAATAATTTATGGATTTGCATGGGTGATACTAAATGCTTTTTTATAACACTCATCATAAAAAATATCACTGGCTTACACTGGACGAATTCATAAAAATAATTTTTTTTACTTAATAGCACTTTCCTGCAATTCGTCTTAATTAAAGTTAATTAAAGAGACACAAGGCGTACCAATGGACAGTAATTTCAGTCCGCAAGTAGCAAGCCGTTTTTACCTCGCAGTATAAGCGTAAAAACGTTAATAAAGTAACAAATACATATTAATTATTACTCAAATTATTATTTCAGTCGTTCTTAATGTATGAAGCGTCTGTATGCAAAGAAAAGCAAAAACTATGGTTTTTATCATTAAATGAAGATATAGCCTAAAGATGCTTTGCGGGCTTTACGGCATAACCATGTTTCATTCGCCCGGGCCCCTGGGCGGTTGCCCACACACCCCTGTCGGCGGGCCTGGCCAAAAGACTTCATCAAGTAACAGAGCATGCAGATGCATGAACCCCAGTAGGAGTATTACGGCTATCAATATTCTTGACTTAGCTATAAGCATATTGTTGTCAGTTGTATTTTCGACGTTATAATCTAATTGTTTGCTAGAGGGAGGTGTTAATCAAGATGATGATGAGGCAATATGTACGAAGTTCATAATGATGTAATGATCGAGAAGCTTCTTGGGCTATGTAGAAATTACGAACTAAATATGAGTAATCATTGATTGATTGAGTTAGTTCAATGAAATATTCAATGAGTGATTCAGTTCAGTGCCAGTCAGTTAGTTCATCTGATTGAAAACAAGGTTTATGAAGCAAGTGGAGATGTACAAAGGGATTGCAACTATAAGATTAATACCTAAAGATATCAAAAAATTACGAAAAGGCTCTAATGACAAAAGTCTAACTATAAAAAGAAATCACTGAGGTAGAAAAGAGCATCAGTGACAGAATAAAACATCTAGAAAACGAATTGATAATTTAAAGATTAAACCAGTTATACCCCTTTTTGGCATATTTCAGAACTTGCCTAAGAATTGCAACCTAAAACACCATTTACTACAAAATATGGAATAGGAAATCTAAGTTGGTCTACACCTATTACCACAAATACTATGTAATCTGTTACTACAAAAGATCTTCCTGGAACACTCCTGCTATTTCATCACTAAATCTAGTAGACTTTAGCTGGTAAAGTCAACAACATTGTTTGATTGAGAAACCAACTGACTACAAAGGAAAGGTACCACGAAAGCCATATCAGGTTCAGTTCGAAATCATTTTCAGAGTAAACAGGATGAACAGTGAAGAACAAGCTGTTCTTTTTGCTGTGAATTTAAAAGTGCCAGCTTTAAGGATTTTAAGTAATCTTCCATCTGAGAGATGTAAAAACTATCATGTTTTGGTAGCTTCCTGATCCAACACGTTGAGAGTGACTGACCAGAAAGAAGTAACCAGAGAAAAGTTATTGAGCAGGGTATGGAGGAAAGAAAAGATATTGGCTGAACTTGGAAGATTTGGTAAGGATTGGCCAATCATATTACTCGGGTGCTTCGCGTGAAATGATGGATCTGTTGGTACGTGACCTGTAAATAGATGCCATAACAGACGAGGATATGAGAATTAGATTGGAGCAAAATATATTCATATCTTTAAAGAAGGCTCTGCAATTAGTGATTGGACACGAATTCATTAAAGTCCCAGATAAACAATATTGAAACATCAACTCCCTGACGGTAGTCTACAACTGAGTGGATCAGTTAAGAACTAGTTACACAGAATAAAGAAAATAACCACAAGTTAAAAGTACAAGTTTGAAACCCATTATTCAGTAAATCAAGGATATAGCAGAAAACCTGACAAATAGTCACTCCATACTGTCTGAAGACAAAGATATTTTAGGCTCATTGGGATTATTGTCTACAATGGTCTTGTTATGTTGGATATCAGTGTACAGAAATAATGACTACAGTTGGTACTTATACAATCTGTATGTTCCAAAGTACTCTTGTATCTCTACAACCTTCCAACAACTAGGCAGCTAGATGTTAAGAAGACACTGAGCCAAGTAAGAGAATGCTTCTGATGTGTTTGGTACTGATGATCTGTAAACAATTAGATTTAAATAATGTGAATTGTGCTATAAAGGTACACGAAAGAAAAAACATGGGTAGCTAGAGCAATATTGTATTGGAGCACTATTTGAGAAAGTCAATGTACTTGGTCCTCTGCCACAGAGTAACAGTGGGAATAAATAATCGTGGTTGTGATGGACTATTTCACCAAATGACCAGAAAAATGTACTGTTCCTAATCAGAAAGCAGAAACTCTAGGAAGGAAACCCGTCAAAGAATTAATTTCAATATTTAGGGGTGCCTATGGAACTTTACTCGGATCAAGGATGGAACTTTGAATCAAACTTGCTTGTGGAAATATTTTAGATCCTTGAAATAAAAAAGCAGGACATCAGCCCCTGATACATTTTCTGATGGTATGATGGAGAGAAACAACCATATGCTTTTAAACCAATTAGCCATCTATGAGGATGAACATCAGAAAGATGGGATCAATATCTTCTACTGCTATTTATGAGATATTGAACAGCTTTACATGAAACTACAGGCAACACACGATCGTTGCTGATGTTCGAGAGATCACTTAGTGCCATTGGATCTTCTGAACCTGCACCCTGAGGATAGTTATTCAGCAGAATCGTATACATAATATGCAGAAAGACTAAATAATACCATTTAAAGCATACATGACTTTAACACGGGAAAGACTTAAATCAACCAGTGATTGAATGAAAAATCACAATGATGTTAATGCTGATAAGACTGGATTTCATCAAGGTGACTTGTTATAGCTGTACAATCCATGATGTAAGAAAAGGCCATATGTTATACCGAAAGTATCAATGATATTGTTTGTTTGTTTTGAATTTTGCGCAAAGCTACACGAGGGCTATCTGCACTAGCTGTCCCTGATTTAACAGTGTAAGATTAGAGGGAAGGCAGCTAGTCATCACCACTGCCAACTCTTGGGCTACTCTTTTATCAACAAAAAGTGGGATTGACCGTCGCATTATAACGCCCCCACGGTTGAAAGGGCGAGCATGTTTGGTGGGACAGGGATTCAAACCCGCGACCCTCAGATCAATGATGTGGTTTATAGAATCAGAAGGGCATGTGTTCTAAGTCGAAGATCGTCTACTGTAATTATCTTTGGAAGTAAATCATTTATGACTAGAATTTTCCAATGGAAATTTAACCTGCTGAAAGGCCCAGGGTTCTTGTTAAGACCACTTCCTGAGGAT